CATCTCATGTGTTTTTGGTGGCCACATGCATTGTGGAACCATTTAAAGGGCGGTTTGGGGCCGACCCTGTGGCTCACTTGGGAGAGTGTGGCACTGGGAGTGCAACAGCGCTCCCGCCACGGGTTCGGATCCTATGTAGGGATGACCGGTGCGCTCACTGGCTGAGCACGGTGCGGGCGACACCAAGCCAACAGTTACGTTCCCCTTACCGGTCGCGAAAAGGACAAAAAATAAATAAATAAATAAATAAAAAATAAAGGGCGGTTTGAGAACTGCAGTCCAAATTGAGGGTTCACCATCTGTTAGGCATGTCTCACTTCTAATTTCAAACATGCCTTTGTACTTAACACTATTCTGTGCCAGGTATCTTAGGTTCTGGGTGTTTTCTCTCAATTTTTAAAGAAAATAAACATCTAGTTGAAGATGATAGGGGAGGAAATGCCTAACAATACAAGAATTTTTCAACTGATCCTCATGTTTTCAGCCCCAAGCACCATATATTCAATAAATACTGAGGTCCCACTATGTGCCAGGTGCTGGGGATTCAACATTGAAGAAAAAAAAAAAAAAAGTTCTGCTGTTGTGGAGCTTATCTTCTGGTGGAAGTAAACAAAATAAGTTAAATGTGTGGCATGTTACATGGTAAGTGCTAAAAAACCATTTTTTTTAAAAAAAGGAAAGAAGGTGGGGGGGTGCAGTTTTAAGTGAAGTGATCAGGACCTTGTCATTGTGTTGAGGGGCTGGTTGGTTAGCTCAGCTGGTTAGAATGCAGCCTTATAACACCAAGGTCACGGGTTCGGATTTCTGTACCAGCCAGCCACCAAAAAATAGAAAAAGATTGTGTTGATGTCTTGGCTAATCTTGTATCAAATTCCCTTAGTCCTTTGGATTTATGTCTTTCATTTTTTCCCCTGTACTTTGTATTTCCTTGTCTTTATACTGGAGTTAGTGATACAAAGAGGATATGTATTTGTGGTCAATCTATCACGTTTAACCTGAAGTCTGTAATCTTTATCTATGAGGAAGGAAGAAGAGCAGAATTTTAAAGAACAGATCGAGTCTGAATATAGGATAAGATTCTGGTTGGTGAGAGAAGAGCATGAGCTGAACATCCAGAAGCTGCAAGGTTGCCCATTTGACTTGAACTTGAGAGAAGCCAGTCTGAATCATCTGGTCAGGTTTGCCACAGAACTAGAAGAGAAGTCCCAGAATATGCTACAGGTGAGAAGTTGAAAACAACACCCTCATAATATTTAGGAAGTGAGAGAAAGAAGAGCTAAACATTATATCAATTCCAGAATAAGGCATCCACAGATATGTTAAATGAATGTATATACCCACCTAGCAATTCTAGTTCTATGAATTTATTTTTACATGCATATGAAAAGACACATGGCTATGGCAAATATAAATATATTCATGTATACATATTATATTACTATATTATACTGCAAATATACTTACACACATATAAAAAAGACAAATGGATAAGGCAGCACTGTAAAATTGAGTTTCAGTATAGAGCTATGGTTTAGAATTAAACTTTGAAGCCAGATTGATGGGGTTCTTACCTGAGTTCTGCTATTTATCGGCTCCTAGTTAGCCTTGGACGTGTTGTTTAACCTCTGACTCAGTTTCTCTAGCTATAAAATGGAGATGACAATGGTCCCTAAGTCAAAACATTGTTGTGAGTGTGAGTGAGATAATCTACATTAAAGCTCACTAAATAGTATAAAGCAACCAATATTAAACCAATAATTATTAGGTATTATTACTGTTATAAATTTATTGATGCGAAAAGATCCGATACAACCTATATC